CGTCAGACATTGATTAATCAGTCGGCGTTGACGTTTCTAGTGGTTTACCTAAAGTTACGTGCATGGCATGCTCGCCGTAACAGACTGTTTCTTTGGCTTATCCCTTACTTCAACCAAAACGCCGGTAATATAATAACTCTTCCAGATCTGAGTACTGGGTCATATACTTAAGTCTAAGGGACATATAGTCAAGAAGTTGATCCTGGGTATCACCAAACCTCTTTAAGCGGCTTATAGTTCACAAATAACTACAAAATCATATTGGAGAAATACTTATCAAATCATTAGGGGAGTCAAGCACTAGCGTCTCAACTACAAGATTGAAAGTGGGCAGAGAATAACTTGCAGGACATCTCAAAGGAAAGTATGTCCAGTCTTTCGAACACGATCACAAAAGCTCATGAGGTCCTGATTGGCTTGTAGGAGAAAGAACTCTTGGCAGTTGGAAATTGAAACAGAATAGGCAAAATGCCCCTTAAATAAACACATCTTTAAATGAATATATAACAAATGTAATTTGTATAATAATAAATTTTATTTACAATAGTACTTTCAGATTATTATCAGCACTTTTAACAAACAAAAAATATCTTTTGTTAATCTAGTCAAATGACACTGTAACATCTATCAGCATCAACCATATTCCTACATGGTAATAAATGTATATAACAAGGGCAAACCAATTTAATTTTTAATCATTCAAGGCCTTAAGAAACAAGCCAACAGTGAGGCTGATGTCCCCCCGCTGAAATTGCAAAATAAATAGATGACACATATTAATTAATCGCACATTTATTTTTTTCACTAAGTTTCATCACTCTCTATCAGATAGAATCAAGATTATCTTGTCCCAAACCATCGACAAATGAAATCGATTAGCTCTGCTTAGCTTCAGCTCGAAATGTTAATTATTGAACTCAGTCAAGACATTCACCTAATGAACATCTACATATACATCAAGTTTAAACATTCACCTAATAGACACCTATGCCAAGTTTGAACATTCTACCTCAATTAGAAGGAGAGTTATTGTGTTCCAAAGTTTCTACCAATCAAATTGCTTATCACTCTGCTTACCCTCAGCAAAAAATGTTCATTATCGAACTTAGTTAAGGTATTCATATAATAAATCTATACACCAAGTTTCATCAATCTCACTTAATTAGAACTAAAGTTATCGTGTCCCAAAGCATCAACCAATCAAATTGCTTATCTCTGCTTACCCTAAGCGGAAAATGCTCATCTTCGAACTCCATCAAGGCATTGACCTAATCAACACATACACCAAGTTTGAACATTCTAGCTCAATTAGGAAGAGAGTTATCGTGCCCCAAAGTATCAACCAATCAAATTGCTTATCTCTGCTTACCCTAAGCGGAAAATGCTCATCTTCGAACTCCATCAAGGCATTGACCTAATAAACACATACACCAAGTTTGAACATTCTAGCTCAATTAAAAGTTATCGTGTCCCAAAGCATCAACCAATCAAATTGCTTATCTCTGCTTACCCTAAGTGGAAAATGCTCATCTTCGAACTCCATCAAGGCATTGACCTAATCAACACATACACCAAGTTTGAACATTCTAGCCCAATTAGGAAGAGAGTTATCGTGTCCCAAAGCATCAACCAATCAAATTGCTTATCTCTGCTTACCCTAAGCGGAAAATGCTCATCTTCGAACTCCATCAAGGCATTGACCTAATAAACACATACACCAAGTTTGAACATTCTAGCTCAATTAGGAAGAGAGTTATTGTGTCCCAAAAAGTGTGACGGACAGACAGACGGACAGACAGACGAACAGACAGACAGACAGACAGACAGACAGACAGACGGACGAACCCATTTTAATAGTCCCCTGCTTTCTTCGAAAGGCGGGGGACAATAAATTTACACTTGAATCTCATGAATGACATTTTGTTGAAAATGTCAAAACTTTAAAATTTGGAACCAAAAGTTTTTGAACAACCAAGTATTGTTTTTGGTTTTGAAACTATTCTTAAGTTAGAGGACAAGAAATACTTTTTTTAAGTGAACTGTCCAAGAACAATTACTAACATATTTTTGGGGGTATAAGTCAGTAATTTCTCTAAGACATTGTCTTAATCTAGTACTCCACATTGAGTTCTATCAAATTTGACATAATACAAAATGACACAAAATTTTGATAAAATAAAATATTCAGACTTTTAACAAAATAAATTTTTACTGCATTTGTATTTCACAAATTCTTGTTCATGCATTTATAATCATAATCACAACATGAAGATTTTACAAGAACTTAACCCTTTGGCACCTGCCAATATCATTAATTTTGGCCTTAAAATTAGATTTAACATCCTACTTTTCTACACGAACCGGGCTATAGAAGTCGGTATTTTCTGTTCTGTTTTGGTTCGAGTCTTCAAATGTTATGAAAATTTACAAAATAATTTACGGACTTCTTCGATGGGCATTTAGTAGTTTATCATATTAACACAAGGCACATCCCTAAAAATAATTTGGTTAATTGCTAATAATTTTCAAATTTCTTTAAGTATATTAGTAGTATCTGCTTTGGCCTGGTAAACTGAGGAAGCATAACCATAACTTTTTTAATAGTCCTTTTGTAATGGAACTTCTTAACACAATATTGTGATTGTACCTTGCATTAATAAGGATTTTGTAATGGAACTTACACAATACTGTACTTGTACCTTGTTAATAAGCATTTTATAATGGACCTTATAAAAACAATACTGTACTTGTACCTTGTTAATAAGCATTTTGTAATGGAACTTATAAAAACAGTACTGTAATTGTACCTTGTGTTTATTTACATGCTAGTTAATGACATTACATAAACAAAGTCTTTTTAAAATCTGCATAGTCATCTTCCCTCAGATCAAACAGTAATTTATAGATAATAATTTTTGTTTTTACAAATGATTTTTCTGTGATGATCCTGTCTATCCCACCAACTGATTTATTTCTTTCACCAGATGTTCACCATATTGAACCCAGTCCACCGGAGTCGCTGATAAACAAACTGTCTTTAATCTACTCTCCTCCTGTCAACAAATAACAAAATTCAAATAAACAACAGAGAGAGAGAGAGTAGAACGTCCACTCGACACACAAACTATTTCATTTCGGGACCAACACCTTGTTCTATTTTATTTCAATAATTCGCTTGCGCGTAGGGGTCTTTAGCAGAGGGAGGAAACCGGATGACCCGAGAAAACCCACGAGGTTGGACAGGCAACCCTACTCCTTGTCGGATACAACCGGGGAAACAAAACCAAGAGTAAATAGCAGATTATTGCTCTATTTTTAGTCTAGAATGTTCTGATTTGATGAGATTACAAATAAGTCATACATAATTGATTTCTGTCACAAATTCTGTCGGTCCCAATAACAGAAGAATTGAGAGCGGAATCATGACATCATCAAATGTTTCGGCTACGGTGATTGGTTGCGACAGTATCATAGTCAGTTGATGCAGGCTTTACTCGATTCATATATTTTTGGAAGTTTGAGAGTATTCAAATCAATCAAGTAAAAAGATTTGTCCTCAACAAATTTCTAACGAGCAAAAGGTACAACTACCATAATAGGTCGACGTTTGTACAAAGCTTCATAAAGATGTCATATCAATATCCCTCCTTCCTCCCTTAGCTTACCCCCGGATCCATTCACTTAATTTGATATGTACATCTGTTTGTGATTTCTGCATATTGTGTCTTGTCCGTAGATTTGTTTTGTGTAATTATGTGTGGTGCAGTCCCCCTGCACTTACTATTAAACAAGACTTACGTTATATGTCTCGACTTTAGCTCGTAATTTGAAGATAAATGATTTGAATAACGCATTCTGGAATAAACTGTCGAACTTTGCTTCATCCTGAAATATATCATAACATAAATATATACATACAAGATTGAGTATGGATTATCCTAATCTGTTAGCCATATGAAAACATCCTTTGGGATAAAGGCAGTCTGATTAGAACATAGATCCTATTTTGTTTTGTTTTTTATAGTTCAAAATTTTGTTTTATTTGCACTACACTAGGATCTGGAAGAGTTGTTATATAACCTGCGTTCTGGATGGCGTGAGGGATTAGCCAATGAAACCATCTGTTACGGCGGCTTCTTGGCGTGCGATGCAAGGTACTGTGGTTGAACCACTAGAAACATCAACGCTGATTGATTAATCAATGTCTGACGTCATATGGTCAAATGCTGTTCGTATGACCTCTGACGCGATCCCCCAAAACAACTGGTCAGATCTTCATGTAGTGCAGGCCATCAAAACTATAAAAAAACAAACGAAATATAGATCTGTATTTTAATCAGATTGTGTGTATTTTAGACTAAAAGGCAATCTACACCATTATATCAAATATAATAGAGCATTATTTCTAGACCTGTTTTATTATGTACCAACCTGCTCTCTCAAGTTACCAATAACATCTGCTTTCTCTCCTAGCAACATCTCCGCTGATTCCTGGAAACATGTCGCCCATTGGTTGTCCGAGAAATCAGCTAAATTTGTCTATAAAACAAGATAAATAGGATTATATCGGAAACACATCCACAATCTATACTAATATTTGTGACTGTTGTTTTTTTTTTCTTCTGTTTGTCTGTTCAGGGTAAGCGGCTACACTAGAGCTGTCCCAAGGCTGAAATTTGATGTATAGGTATCTCGGACCAGGGAGTAACATCGGCTAGGTGGCATTGACCTACCATTTCCAGTTATACTACTTTCAATCCGTGCAACACCGGTCATTCGCTAGTATTATTATATTGAAAACATGATGCATATTAACAGTTATAAAGATCTATAATAACTTACACTCAGTATCATTCTCCATTTAAAGTTGGGGAATTCTTTGTTACATTTTTCACATCGATATAAACCATTTCCTTGATCTACTACTTTCTTATTACACTGGTCTGTTGGACATGCCTATAATATAGATAACATGTCTCAAATACACAGATAACACAAACCCATTATTATAACAATGGTCTGTTGGACATGCCTACAATATAACATAACATAAAAACATCCACCATTTGATTTCAACCATCAAGGGTTCTTTCACATGCATGTCAACTATACACACGGCATCAGAGGGTCGTTGCATGTGTAGTAACCCAAGATCCCATCATGATGTGTTTGAATATCCCCCATTTATAAATTTATAACTTGGTTTATCTTCTGACAGTTTCCATGACAACAAGCTAACTCACTTTGTATATGCTGTTTCTATGACAACCTACTCACCAAGAACATACAGTTTCTGTGACAACTAACTCACCCAGTACATACAATTTCCATGACGACTGACCAACCCAGTACATAGTTTCCATGACAACCAAATCACATAGAACATAATGTTTCCACGACAACAAACTCACCTGGTACATACAGTTTTCTTTCTTTAGGTAAACAATGGTGGCTTTAGATGTAAAGAAATCAGCTTTACCCGATTGTCCCAAATTTTCACTCTTCACTTGGCTAAACGTCTTCCAATTTGTAGCGCCACCTGAAATAAATAAAATATCTTTTAGATTCTTGGACCGAAAGATAGGGCTTCAGATCATTCAAAAAAAAAATTAGGCCATTCTGGGAATAATGAAGGCATAGTTATGAAGAGACAAAACGCTAAAAAGGAAAAAAAATTAATAAATCATGATAAAAATTCCATAAAAAAATGCAAAACTGTTTCTGTGGAAGTTTGATCTATAAAACATGTTTTATTTTCCTCTGAAAATGTGATTTTGCAACACAGTCTCACTCTATAGAGATCAATAATTCTATATATCCTTGGTCAATTAGCCACAAGTATCCCAGTCTTTTCACTATTGCCACCCGGCAAATAAAAAAGGTTTCATTACCTGCTCCACTCGATCCCGGCCCATCACTGGCAAATTTATCAAAGTTCATACTCTGTCCTTCTCGATCGTACCAACCACGCAAGAAATGACTTTCTCTTATATCTGGATTCATTATCATCTGACTACTGGCTAACACTGACAACGATCGACCTGTGAAAAAAATAATATGGTGAACACAATCGTGAATAGAATTTTGAGCAGGCAGCATCTATTATTCTCAGTATCAAAGAATTTTGTATATATAAACTCTATAGTTTATTACCTTCAGGAAAACTTTATTTTCTAACTCCAAAAGCAAAACTATATACAGCAAACTCTCAGCAACATTGGGAAAACCAAATTTCTTGCAGCCCAACAGGTTTTCTCTCGACACTTCATTACCAAGCTTTAAAATTTCATACTGGAAATTTTAACTTGGTGTTTTTACGAAGCAACTACACATAGGGTTCATTAGCAGTTGGAAGAAACCAGAGAAAACCCAGAAAGTTGGGCAAGCGTCACTTTATGATCTAAAACCACTTGTCTTTATCAGCCAAGTCAGAGCAGAACAGTAGGAGAGAGAGAGAGAGAGAGAGAGAGAGGGAGAGAGAGAAATGGGGTTTAACCTCCACTCGACACAAACTAGGTCATTTCGGGACTAACACATGGTTCAATTTTATTTCCATAATTCGCTTGTGCGTAGGGGTCTTTAGCAGTGGGAGGAAACCAGAGGGCCCGAAGAAAACCCACGAGGTTGGACAGGCGACCCTATTCCTTCTCACGTACAACCGGGGATCAGAACAGTAGGACTTTAAACCCCATTTCATTTCTAAAACACACAAGTTAGACCATGAAGTCACCCAAACTTTGTAATATTAAAAGGCTCTGTATATTAAACTTACCACCATAATCTGATAATCTGGCACCTTTTACAGCTATAACAGGATTACCATCTCCACTAAACTGTTGAGCCTGTAGAAATAAAACATAATAAATTAATATTTTTTACAAAACTATCATTAGATATCTTACGGTGAATATATGAGAAACCGCTTTATTTAATGGTGCCTTTCATCGAAGTGACATCTCAGTCATTCTTCTGATCAAAAAGAGAGGTTAACTTCCACTCGACACAAACTAGGTCATTTCATGACTAGCAAATGGTTTAATTTTATTTCAACAATTTGCTTGTGCGTAGGGGTCTTTAGCAGCGGGAGGTTGGACAGGCAACCATACTCCTTGTCGCGTATATATAAAGCTATGAATCGAAACCACGCCACTTGACTAAATGACAGACCAAGATGAGAATATGACAACTACACGCTGCCTGGTTGCCCAGTATTATCACTTCTCTGTCTCAGTCGGTCCTTTACAATGACAGCAGTCGTCTCCATCTAACTTCTATGCCACTCTTGACAAAACAGATGTCGTTTTCTTTTAAATCTTGAAATTCTTATATTCCTTTCTTTTATAGAGTAAAATCTATGTTTGTAAAAGATTTTTCCATACTATCATTCCATTAAGAACAAACAGAACAGGAAAATAAATTTAATCCAAAGAAATGAAATGGGGTTTAACATCCTACTGTTCTGCTCCTATGCTGGGCTAATGAAGACGGGCATACGCCATACAGTGTGCTATGAGGGAAATTTTTCCCGGGCAGCGACACTATCGCCTACTCTTATATCGAATTCCAACTGCCAAGGGATCTTTTACTTGCATTCTAATGTATATACGGGACCTCGGTTTTTCATATCATCCGAAGGACTAGATAGCTGTCCTTGTCAGGCCCTCCGTCCTGCATGCCTTAATCCAAAGAATAACCTAGATAAAGTATATGATTGATAAAGTCAACTTACATCGTTACCCCACAATGTGAGATTAACACCAACACCTGATTGGTCAACTAAAGTTATATCACGTTTTGTTATTTCTTTCTGACTCTGACGACCAACAACGGAACCAATATCACCACATTTACTCACAACTCCAATTATATCTGGAAAACAAATTACGATAATCTGAATACATCAAATAATACAAAAAGAATTACAATGAATAGTTTGTTAAGACATGTCTTCTTGCTGTGCTTGAATAACGATAAAAGAACATTTGTTGCGCTAGGATTTAACGGTGATATAATAATACGTTTTTTTTAATCAGATAAAAATTATGACCTCTATAGGGTCCACAATCTAAAAACTCGATTTTTCGTACAATCAGGGGCCATAATTCATGAAGTTACGGTCCGATATGCGTGAATATCGAAAGGAACCGAGATCTTTGGGTTATAAACTTACATTTCTAGTTTCAACAAAATCGGATAAAAATTGTGACCTCTATAGGGTCCACAACCTTGATATACCATATTTTTACGCTATCTGAGAAAGAACGGCAGCCATTTTGTCTGTCAATTTTGGGCCGATTGTCACAAAATTCGAACTCAGTCGTCCTTAGGGTGAAACGGTGATATAATAATACGTTTTTTTAAATCTGATAAAAATTATAACCTCTATAGGGTCCACAAGCTAAAAATGCGATTTTTCGTACAATAAGGGGCCATAATTCAGGAAGTTACGGTCCGGTATGTGCAAATATCGAAAGGAACCGAAATCTTTGGGTTATAAACTTACATTTCAAGTTTCAACAAAATCGGATAAAAATTGTGACCTCTATATTTTTATGCAATTTGAGAACAAACGGCGGCCATTTTGTCTGTCAATTTTGGGCCGATTTTCAGGAAATTCGAACTCAGCCATCCTCAGGGTGTAACGGTGATATAATAATACGTTTTTTTTAAATCGGATAAAAATTATGACCTCTATAGGGTCCCCAAGCTAAAAAACGCGATTTTCGTACCCCACTGGCCATAATTCAGGAAGTTACGGTCCGATATGTGCGAATATCGGAAGGAACCAAGATCTTTGGGTTATAAACTTACATTTCAAGTTTCAACAAAATCGGATAAAAATTGTGACCTCTATAGTGTCCACAACCTTGATTTTCCATACTTTTACGCTATTTGAGAACGAACGGCGACCATTTTGTCTGTCAATTTTGGGCCGATTTTCACGAAATTCGAACTCAGCCATCCTTAGGGTGTAACGGTGATATAATTGAACGGTTTTTTAAATCGGATAAAAATTATGACCTCTATATGGTCCACAAGCTAAAAACGTGATTTTTCGTACAATCAGGGGCCATAATTCAGGAAGTTACGGTCCGATATGCGCGAATATCGAAAGGAACCGAGATCTTTGGATTATCAACTTAGATTTCAAGTTTCAACAAAATCGGATAAAATTGTGACATCTATAGGGTCCACAAGCTAAAAACGTGATTTTTCGTACAAACAGGGGCCATAATCCATAAGTTTTGATCCGATACATGCCAGTATTGAAAGCAGCCGAGATCTTTTGGGGATAAACCTACATTTCAAGTTTCGTCAAAATCAGATAAGAATTGTGACCTGTAGAGAGTCCACAAACAATTGTGGACGGACGGACAGGAGCGACGGCATAATACGTCCACATGAAAATGTGGGCGTATAATTATATAAAACAAAAGGTTTGTCTTGGGTTATTAGTTAGCAAATGGTCTGGGCCCTTTGACATACATTCTCAATGGGTAATAATGACCTACATGTATATAAATTTAACAAACTGCATAGTATGACAGTTTATGTTGAAAATCATTGACGTAATGTCAACAGGACTAGACGTGTCAATTGCTAATCGCATCCTCGAGAAGCAAGTGTATCAATGGGCAATTCACTGGCTAACTGACCGGGATTGATTCAGGTGTTGTTTGAGACAGTTGGCGGGTGTTGCAGTGACTTGAAAAATCTCGACATTCTATCATGGGAAAATAGGACAGTCTAGTCGATAGTACAGTGTTCTCAGCGCCAAGAAACAACAAAACAACGATATCACAGAAAGTAACCCACCTATCATACTGTTTGGTTGATGTTTTTCTAAATCTGATATTTGGACAAAATCAAAGGTCATGCTCGGTAGATCAGTTTCCTCCTCACATACCTCTATATTAGTATCAGGGTTAAAGGTCATTTCATAATCATTATTCACTGATGAATATTGTTTGTTGGCTGTCTTCAGAGTGGCTCGACTAACATAATATACCTGCAAATTAAATAATAGATTAGTGACTTAAGATACAATTTTTGTGGATTATCTCCATTGTTGTGAGGTTGATTATATTTTGAGTTAAGCCTGCATCATTTAAAGGCCCAGGATTGTGCAGTGAAGTGGATGTTTACGGCCGGTAACATTTATTTGAGTTAACATCAGATATTTACAGTGTTTATCAATTAAAAATAGTCAATTAAATCACTAAGAGAGAGAGAGAGAGAGAGAGAAGAGAGAGAGAGAGAGAGAGAGAGAGAGAGTTTAATGTCCACTTTCCACAAACTAGGTCATTTCGGGATTAACACAAAGTTCAATTTAATTTCAATTTTTTGCTTGTAAATAGGTCTTTAGCAGTAGGAGGAAATCAGAGGACCTGGAGAAAACCCACGAGTTGGACAGGCAATCCTACTCCTTATGCCGTTCAAGCGGGGGAATGAAACCACGCGACTTGACACATTCCCGTTCAAGCGGGGGATTGAAACAACGCGTCTTGACACATTCCCGTTCAAGCAGGGGATTGAAACAACGCGACTCGACACAATGACAAATCTTATCATGCAACGTGCACACAGTAACCATTCCCCCCCCCACCCACCCGTATCACTAAGATACAAATCATACAGAATCTGCTGTTCTACAAGAGATCTAATTTCCATCCAAAACTGACTAAAATAATAAATTTAACAAACCTTATTGACTTCTAACATATCGTAAAATTTGTCAACAGCATCATTAAATCCCGTTGCTCGTATTTCTCCAGATTCATCAAGAAAATTAACACTGAAGAGTTTACCCTCTCCACGTGAATTACTCCAGGTTTTAACAGATGATTTCTGGGTTATTCGTGCTCTGATTCGCCATCTACAAAACAACACAATATTTGTTATTCTGAGACTAACACATTGTAATATTTGATATGGTTGATGTGTAATGTTCGACCTACTCTTCGAAATACAACTGCACAGGAATCTTTTACCATGCATGACTAAAGTCCTTTTTCAATGATGAAGTGGGAAGCGGGTTGAAACATTCCGAAAGGCCCTCTATTAAGCAGTAAATTATTGAACTATGGTATAGTTTTGATATTTTTCAAGTCTTCTTAGGATTATAATTGTTAAATATCACGTCCGCAATGCTATAAACACAATACCAAAGTGAAAGTAGCATACTCGTCAAAATATTATAACTTTTTTGATGTGTCAAGGGTGTCTTTAACTAGTAATATCAAAGTAAAAGTATTGCACCAGTTTTAATATGGGGTCAGATGGCCTATTGACCATAATATCAAATTGAAAGTAGTTTAACTATTTTGATAAAGGTATCAGGCCTACTAAATGCTATATGAATGTGAAAGTAGTGTACCTATTTGATATATGGTATCTGAGTGCCTATTCAACATAATAAGAAAATGAAAGTAGCGTACCTATTTTGATCAGGTATCAAAGTGCCTACAAAATGTAATATGAAAAGTGAAAGTAGTGTACCTGTTTTGATATGGTGTCAGACTGCTGATTGAATGTACTCTGGATGTAGATGGACTGGCTGTAGCAGCCCCTCCCCCTTTTATACTGTAACCAGGTTTATTGTTATTGGTAGCCATGGCTGAAATATTCATAAAATATAATTACACAATTAGTGCTGGGTATTGCCAATTCAATCACGATACAATATGTATTGCAATTTGGGTGCTACGATGACAATTCATTACCCGGTCAATATTTACCAAGAAAACAACAGGATGAATGGATAATCAATATTTTCAGTGCTGTCGATGTTGAAGAAATAAAATTGTTTTATATCACAATATAGATGTGGATCAAAATAAGGACCAAACAAAATAATTTAAGAGTGTTTCTTTACTGAAGGCCCCCCTCCAAAAAAAAAACAACGATACATCGATTCAGGGTCTCGCATTCAATATGCAAATTGTGAGACCGTGAACCGCAATACATCAATATTCAATGATATATCGTGCCAGCACTATACACATTACCATTAGATTCAAACAGACTGGATATAATTTCTAAAGATGCATTATGTAAGGCTTAGATAAAGAGTTGGCAGTTATTGCTAAAATAGTTTAAAAACAGATAAGAAATAAATATATTGAAAATTTCAGTCATATTATTAATTCTAAGCAAAGTTGTCAGCGTTGGAAGTTTTCACAAAAAAGTCCTGATTCTCAAGTACCGTTATTACGATAATAAAGTTTTGATTATCCATTTTAAATTAAATGGCAATCATGTTTCAAACCATTTAAAATCGTGACCACCCGATGTTCTAGAGAGTTGATTATGGATATCTCATGTGAATAAAAGTCTAATTAATAATTCATATAACATTTGAGGTCAAACGAAAATATCTGCAATTGGCAGATTTAGCTCTTACATAATGTTTCTTTAAGGGGATAGTAAGCACTTCAGACCAAATTTTTTACTTATAAAGCTAGGATGTTTAAATTTTCACACAAGACACATATACATGAGACAAGTATAAAATTTGTCGTTTCGTTAAAATCTGACAACCAGTTGCCATGGCAACAGAAAAAAGGGATTTTATATAGGTAATGTGCTTAGTTTTGCTATTTTTCAGGATCTATCAATGGGATTTGGCTCAAATTTATTCTGAATGTTGTTTATGTGTTACTGTGTGCAAATATGAAGTTTGGTGGAGAAAAAATGATATAAAGTCACATTATGATGGCCACAAAAATTAGCGAAGCAAAATTTAGTACAGCCTTAGTTACTTTAGAAACCATAACTTTTGCCCTATTTGATGCATATTCAAAAAAAACCTTATTTGCACACAGCAACACCTCATGAAGCATCTCTGAAAATTTCAAATTGATATCTCTAATAGTTTTTGAAAAATAGCGAAACTAAAAGTTGCGACTGGCACAAAAACATGTTTTGAGAAAATGCCATTTGAAGTTTGTGCACAGTTTCCTGCAAGCATTTCATACTAAATTTTAACTTACAATGCTAGAATATTTAGATTTTCACACAAGACACATATACATGAAACAAGAATAAAATTTGTGTTTTCGTTAAAATCTGACAACCGGTTGCCACGGCAAACGGAAAAAGGGTATTTTATATAGGTAATTTTTTAGTTTCGCTATTTTTCAAAATCTATTAGTTGGATTTGGCTCAAATTTATTCTGAATGTTGTTTATGTGTCACTGTGTGCAAATATGAACTTTGGTGGAGCAAAATGATATAAAGTCACATTATAATGGCCACTAAAATTAGCTGCAACCATAATAAAAATTATAATCAGAAAAAAATGATAAGGGTATCCGTGTTACCGTATCAGTTGTTTGTAATGTTAATATATTGTTCGTTAAATCGTGCAAAGTGAAAAATTAACTGTTTTTGAACACTGATAGTTTATTTTTATTTGCCGGTACTAAAATTAAAACCCTTCGGAAATATAAACTGCTCCCTCTTTTATACTGCTAGTCACATTTTTTTTTTTAATTTTTCCAATTCTTTGACTTTCATATTTTTTTTAAATATCTCTCTGAATTTTATATATATATTATTTTGTATGTTCATTCATTTTTGTGCCATACCACTAATAGAACTCCCAGCAGCAGAAGCATTCATCCTATTTTATTGGCAGTGGAAACATTTTTCTGGCAAAAATTACAATACCGGTCCACCGTAATTGAAATTATTTTCAATCAAACAAAACTGTTGATCAAATTTATTCTGAAATTTTGGACGATTCAATTTTGATATTATTGACATTAGAAAGTTAACATCAGTCAAACATAACTGTTGATCAAATTTATTCTGACATTTTGGACTATTTAATTTTGATATTATTTATTTTAGAAAATTTACATCGACTAGTCTGTACGACTGTAGCCTGATGGGCCATTACTACTAGCCGTAACTAGGTCTAGACGGCTCTTCAATGGACGGAATATGCCAAATGTTGAGGGAAGACTCGTAGCTCAACGTCGACTATACCTTCTTCCTTTGAATTTATTTGCACTTCTCTATTTTTAATACGCATTTTAGGCTCAAAAATCAGTAAAATTCGGCTTAAGTTTTATCATTCTTAGCACTTCCGGAAGTTCGGTAAGAATAATAGTGCGCATGTGCACACGCGTCAAAGGTTACAAAATACCTGTATGTACTGATGTACTACGCATTTTCATTGGCTAATAATTCCATGTGATCTAATAGACCAATAGAAAACTTTGTTTTTGCTATCGAGGACTCGGTGTAACATGGGAATTCCTGTACATTGTCATTGCAAACACATAATACGTCACGGTTTATTTATAGTATTTTTCCCAGGCTATAAATAGATACCAAGATGGCGACGATCAGTTGATTTGTATAGAAGTTACGAGGGGGTGAATTTAGGCAAAATTTCAAAGACAAAAGATTAATTACGGATAAAAATTAATTATAAGATATGCAAAAGTCATTATATTTGTAGAAAATAATCATTTTCGGGAGAAATAAAGACTGAAAACAAGTTTAGTACACTTTATCCAAACATCATTTCATGTAAATAAAATTTTTCATTTTTTTTCATTTTTAATAAAAAAACGGTCATACCAAGTGCGAACGATCCCCTTAAATTTGGTGGTTTTACTATTAAACAAGAGTTGGTCATCAGCATTAAGCCCCCCTTGTCTGTCAAAAATAAGGAGAGTGAGAGAGAGAAATAGGGTTTAACATCCACTTGACACAAACTAGGTCATTTCGGAACTAACACATGGTTCAATTGTATGTCAACAATTTGCTTGCGCATAAGGGTCTTTAGCAGTGGCAGCAAACCAGAGGACAAGGAGAAAACCCACGAGGTTGGAATAAAAAAAAAATGTCTAACTTACGTCCATTACTACTGTTGTTTAGTGGTTTATTGATTGGTTGTGCAGTAGTTTCTAAAACAAAGAGAAATATACAAAATAAATAACATGGAACACCTGATACCATTTCTCATTTATTTAACAAGTTTTCATGAAATAGTAAACCACAAGAGATATGGGGTTTAATGCCCACTTGACATTAACCAGATTATTTCGGGATTAATATATAATATATTTCTATAAATAATTTACTTGCATGCAGTAGTTTTCAAAATTGAAGGACCCTGTAGTACCCATACTAAACTTAGGCTGTCTGTCTACAGTTGTCTCCGCAGAAGAATAGACACTAAGCTAGTTTACGAACATTTTGGTCACAAATTTTGTTATGTATGTATTCTCGAAGTATGAAGTAGGTGGATCTCTGTGTGCAGAATTGTGGATTACCCAGAGAAAACAACTAGACACAGTTCCTTGCCACGCCCTCTGCTTGACACAACTGACAAGGCGAGACAAGGATGTAAAATCCTGATCAAACCGTGGCTATCTACATACCTGCCTTCATGTGGTTACTATTATTAGTATTATCATGACCATTCACTTGACCACCTAAAAATATATCAAATGATTCAGATTAATGTGTCCTGCTATATGAACAGCAGGTAGCAAAGGCTGCTACAATTTCATGAGATAGAAACAATCAAACCCGACTGAACTCCGGTCATTTTAGATGATAAATGTACGAGAGAGAGAGGAATGGGGTTTAATGTCCACTTGACACAAACTAGGTCATATGGTTCAATTTTATTTCAATAATTTGCGTGCGAGTAGGGGTCTTTAACAGTGGGAGGAAACTAGAGGACTTTGAGAAAACCCACAAGGTTGGACAGACAGCCCTACTCCTTGTTACTTACAACCGGGAAATCAAAACCATGCCACTTGACTCAATGCCAGACCTTATGATCTGAAGTACAGATTCAACCATTCGATAAGGGTGTTAATGTTAAGACTAAAACTTACCATCAGCAGCAGATGCTTTATACTGTTGTGGATTACCAATTCTAACACCAACTTGTGAACCAGGTTGTAAAACATTTACATCCAGTAATATCATTATACGTCTATAATATATACAAGTTATTGTCATATAATAATTATATATCATCATATCTTCCACATGGACTAAGACTAGTAATTATTTCCCCTTATTTCATGATGGTATAGACAATTTTTCCCTTAATTTTTTTCTCCCCTCTTCCTGCATTTTTGGGTTGACTTTTTGGTCTAGAATTGGAGAAAAGGGATCAAATTTGCAATTTCATAGCAGTTTTGTGTAATACTGATGATATTACAGCGGAGGGATAGGGGGTGTCAAGTGTCTTTCTGCAGAGCAATCATTGTGTCGGAAGTGAGATTTTCACCCCTGTCAACTTCAAATCTGTGTAGCAAAAAATCTAAATGGTCAACCCCCTACAAAATTATGATGAGGAGATTGCCAAATGTTGTCCCCATTGTGCCTATAAAGATTGGAACCAACGGAATGTTGAGCAAAAAGCTACAGCCTGTGATGTTACAGTCATTTAACATTGAAGTCAATGGGCAAATAATTGCTAGTCGGAGTTCATATATTCATGGAAGAGTTTCCTCCCTTTTATTAGTTATTGGAGAGTGAATAAACAGGGTTGATCTCAGCTGCATGTGGTTTTAAATTAATTGTATTCTAACAAATACCATCAATAGATAAACAAACTACCCCCCTCAAGTAACTTTTGGTTTCAAAATGCCATGTTAGTGAATAATTGATCTTGGGCCGATAACACGGAAAGATTTACTTTTTAACCAAGATGAATTATGGTTTACTGCCCTACATTCCTTCTGGTTAATGGCGCATCCGCAACCTTATTCAAAGAGAGAGAGAGAGAGAAACATCCACTCGACATATACCCGGTCATTTAGGGACTAACATATAGTTCAATTTTGTATCAATAATTCACTTGCGCATGAGTTTCTTTAGCAGTTGGAGGAAATCAAAGAAAACCCATGAGGTTGGATAGACAACCCTACTCCTTGTCACCTTCAAGTGGGGAATCAAAACCTTGCGAAAAAATGACTAGACCACCCAAATCCCCCTAAATCAAAGACAAACTATTTAAACACCAACTTACCTGTCATTTTGTATTGTATTACAGAGATATCGTTCAACTTGAATCACACACAGATTATCTATTAAACCATCTTCCATATAATTATTTAACTGGGTTGCCAACATGGCATCTAGAAAATAAACAACAATACTTTATTTGAATTCAGGCTGACAACTTAAGTACTGACTGAATAATCATTCAGAAGGCACAAAAACACGGGTCAATCCTTCATCAACCCTCCGGCTTTCCATCTAAAAGAATTCTTAACATTGGCATTGGATAGAAAATTATTTGGAAACGATATGAAATGGGGTTTAACGTTCTACTCCAACTGAGCTAATCAAAACAGACATACGCCATTCTGTTTGCAATGAGGGAGATTTTGCCTGGACAGCTGCACTACAGTCTACTCTTATATCGAATTCCAACTGCCAAGGGATCTTTTACATGTACACAGGGCCTCGATTTTTCGTCCCAATAAGTCGTGTTTGCAATGTCAGTGACTGTGGATGATATTGAGTTATATACTTGCCTCCTTTAAGTCTATATACTTACGTGAATATGTGAGTTCTCCATCTGATAATAATAATCTATATCTATCAGCTGATCCACCTGCTGATATCTTCTTAAAACTCTGAAATAATACAAAACAACAAGTCTAAAATAACATTTTAACCAGTTGATAACGGACAGTCACCCAAAACAATACAGAATCGAAAATTTACTAAAGTAGAATTCGAATCAAGTATTTCCCCCCCCCCCCACACTTACCTAATTTTGTTTCGTCATATATATATATATATATATATACATAAATTTGTGTTACCCTATATCTAGATTCAATGGCCTCTGCCAAGCAGCTTAGAAGGGGAGGGATTTTTAAGAGCATTTTTAACAGGTCTTATTTTGTCACTAAAATGTTCCCTTACATTGTACAGGTCATTACAGTTTCTGACGCGAGATCGTTTAGCAGTAAAAAGTTGCCCAGTAAAATTGACTAGGGGTCAAAACTTTTTCGATAAGGATTCAAAAGGGCAGTTCCTTAACGTACAGGACAAGTGTAATGAGACCTACGTTCAGAGCTGAACTACTGATTGATCAGCCTTTTTTTTTTATTCATAGATGGCATTAGCATCGAAATCAATTCAATGTGACCGGCGATATTAATTTCTTACTTCACCAGGCTTTAACTACATTTTTTTTTTAGGAAGTGGATATTTAACCGTATACGGCAAAGTATCTACTTTCGCTATTTTACCGTACATCGTTTCTGATTGGCTAATTTGTATGATGATGTCATACCTTATTCAAAATGGCGGAAAGTACAGATGTTCTGAAGGATGTCAGCTGTTTCGTAACCTGGCTGTTTCGTACTTAGTTCATTCGTACCTCACATGAGCCGTTTCGTACTTCACTTCGTACCTCAAATTGATTCTTACCTTTTCCTATGTTGTTGAAATCAGTTAAAAGAAATTGAAATAAAGGTGAAACGATTTGATCAGATCCAACGGCTACGCTAAATTTATATTACACAGCCTGCCCAATAGTAGTAATTCACATACATTTTTACTAAAATTGCTTCAACATTTCACTAAATTTACATCGGTTATGATCGAAAGCCATTTTCATGCAGTTGGGTTTCAATAACAGAATCACCCCGTGATATGACCGTATATATACAGTCCATGATATAACAGATCAAAAAAAACGCGTACGCCCATCTTCACACGAAGGCACCTTTTGGAGACTTAATTGCTGCATTCTGTTTCTAGGCATAAATAACCCAACCATATCAGAAAACATGCAGTTTCACCTTACAATGAGTTAAATTGATTTTGGAATTCTTAGTATATTCAATCGTTTTTAATCGCTTTAACAACCACCAATCAGTTGTCGTCAATAATCACAAATCACAACTCACTCAACAGAATGGGTTTAATAATCAACCCCAGATTAAATACTTTACAATCGTTTTTTAAACTGCATTAACAATTACCAATCAACTGTCATCAAAAATCACAACTCACTGAGCAGAATGGAATCGATAATCAACATCAGATTTAAAAGAAACGCAGGTAATTGTTTATTATTTCAATTTCTTTCAACAACATATAGATTTATTTTAATTTCTTTCAATTCATTTCAATAACATATAGGAAAAGGTACGAATCAATTTGAGGTACAAATCACATGTGTATTCTAATTCTCGTTTGGCAGCCATTTTTATAAATTTAGTGCAGCCTTTGGATTTAGGAAAAGGAACTAATCAATTTGAGGTACAAATCTCGTGCATATTCTAATTCTGGTTCGGCATTTTCAATTTCTTTCAACTGATTTCAACAACATAGGAAAGGTACGAATCAATTTGAGGTACGAAGTGAGGTACGAATGAACTAAGTACGAAACAGCCAGGTTACGAAACAGCCTGCACCCGTTCTGAAAATAGGAGGTAAATTTGAACCCTAATCCTAATCCATTTTTCTAATCCATCAAAATGGGAAATTAAATTAAAATAATTACAATAGTGTGTTCTTAATTTATTTTCAAATTTAGGGATTAATACTGATTTTTAAGATAGCCGTATACGGTTAAATTCATCTCATGTACGGTCAAATAATCCAGGAAATGACACTTGATGACGTCACTATATTCCAGCCAATAAGAAACGATGTACGGTAAAATAGCGGAAGTAGATACTTTGCCGTATACGGTTAAATATCCACTCCGTTTTTTTTAAGGAATTAATTGTTATTTTTGTGTTCTGTACCGGTAATGGTTATGGTAATCTCATGTTTTGGGGCAGCAACACATAACATTGGTTGATAATGCACTACGAAATAATAATTTAATGCAGTATCAAATTCTACTATACACTTACAATAACTTGAAGAACTGGCTTATCTGGAGATCCTCCCTTAATAATAGCCTGAAAAAAATACAGTTGAGTTAATTAAGCCAGAAAATTAAATAAATTCTAGTCCACACGATAATTAATTTCAGACTAAAAAGCTTACTAAAGGTATGCGTAAGAAGAAAGCAGTGAATTTATTCAAAGACTGTCTTGTTATTTGAAATTATTATTCATAAGGTATGTAACAATATCAAAGACAAGATTGTCTGGGCTGTGAGTTGTAGCAAATGCGACTATCAAGGTTTGACAATCTTTCGTTTGTGATGTGAAACTAAAAAAAAACAGTTTTCAATTTTTGTTGTTTACTTGTTTTTTGTTGGCATTTTTTTCTCTATTTCTCTGGAATCACATATTTGTTTCATACCTCAATCGAGCCGTTACTAAGTTTTGCTGTCATTATGACAAAATATCTGTTATCTTCACTTTCTTTTTAGTCTTTCTTCTTCGAATGCTTACCCTCGCAAAATATGGCGCGAAATGTATGCGGTTGTCTAAAAATAACAATTATGAAACCTATTAATTTATTCTCACAAAGAGTGCACTCTCAACCCAATTCATTGTGAACAAGTTGAAAACATTATTCTTCATTCGAAAGACTTAAGTTTTGTCGTGGCCTATTATTCGCATTATGTTGATGGGATGATGTCATTATGTTTTATTTTCGTTTCGATTATAAAAGAAAATTATTCCGCTTCCAAATTTTAATCTCGGCAACGTTTGACCCGTTGACCTCAAAATATAAACTTCCGGTCTACGCCATACTGCTAGCGGAAATCTGGAAAAAATGTTTTAAAACTTTTAATAAGTCGTAATTTCGTGACGTTTTTTCTCTAAAAACCACATTGATAACCACGCAGCATATTCAGAAATGTATTAAAGCAGTTGAAAAGGGCTCGAGTGGAGTTCAAGGGTCAAAATGCCGATTGTGAAGATGAAGAAGAAAAAATCGGGTGGCAGCTCGAAAAGTTTGCCAGTCCGTGTGACGACGATGGATGCAGAGCTGGAATTTGATATTGATGTAAGAATTACTTTTTAAAAAGTGTTACTGTGTTTCTGCAAGCAATAAATAGATCAAAATATCAAACAAAAAACATTGTCATTAACAGTGATTTATTTTTCCAATAACGTCCGATTGCTTCTCCCAAATTTGAAATTAGTCATCACTTTCACTGACAAGAAATCAGTCATAATCTATGATTAGAGTTAGACATTGGTTTGGTATGTGTTTGCTTAAGGCAATAAATCTGAACATAACTGTATGTTTGGGGAGCATAGTAATGGTACTAACGGAAATTAAATATATTTTAATGTCTTAAATAATTTTTCTGAGCCAATATGATATGCCCCCGTCCGTTTGATTTCAACTAGATCTTGCACGTGCAATGGCAATGAACATGCTTATGAAGTTCTGACATGCACCCCAAAATTTTAAGCGTGAAGGAAATAAATCCATGTGGGATCAAAAAGGCTATTTTAGCCCAGTGTGCAATTTAAAACAAATACCGGTACCACTGAAATTCAAAATTGTAGCAACCATTGTACATTAGCCATACACAACAACTCATTTGGGTCAATTTGGGTCTGATACATGTATATACCATGTGCCATTATTAGAGAGCAATATAGACCACTCGTCCCAAGTTTAGAAGATCACTTATCCCACAATAGTTGTGTTTGTTTTAATACATTGGTCGAGATAGAAGATCGGGAAGCAGGTCGTTTCATCCCATGACTGGTTCACCCCGGGCTGTTTCATCCCAAAGTGACCCCGGGCTGTTTCATCCTGTCATATCGGGTCGTTTCATCCCACAAATCAATAAACAGGTTTTAGGTATTTTTACTATTTTTATTCATACATTTATAACAATAACAACATGTCATGGCACTTTTAGTAATATGATACATACATCATTTCATTTCAAACCTCCAAACGCATTGTATCCAATGAAAAACACAGCCCTTTAACTTCATAACAAGGGGGATGAAACAGCCCGGGGTGAAACGATTACATGTCATTTCGGTCCCGCGTCATTTCGGACTTACGTCATTTCGGACTCCAAAAAATATGTCCCCGACATTTCGGACTCGGGTAGGTGACATTTCGGACTCGGGTAGGTGACGTTTCGGACTCGGGTAGGTGACGTTTCGGACTCGGGTAGGTAAGATAGAATTATACAACACACTGACGCCAATTTACTTTATAAACTATTTTATTTATCAACATAGCATAAAATGATAACATCGATTTATAACAACGGGCATATTATTTTATTTTTAAACATACCATATAGCGATAACAACGGTCAAACAAAACATTCATTTATTGTATAAATACATACACATTCATACATTAACGCAACATTTATAACAACACGTGTATTTATTTGATGAAAAAATAGCTTTAGTCGGCTATTCATTTTTTTTTTTTTTTTTTTTCATTTTTTTAATTATGTAATTGTTTTTCACTGAGCGGGTGGACCATACAAATGACTTATTTTTTTTAATAGTCTACTAGTGCTCATCTGTTTTTCATTGTATGAATCCCATATATTAAAAAGTTGGCCTTCTACATGTCGATACCGACGTCTTTGGTGTCGTCTCAATGAACCTTCCGACATCATTGTGAGGTCCAGTGGTATCTTTGTAGCTTCTGAAAAAAGTGCGCAAATCAATAGATAAAATGGCACAGGACCTCTGGCGTTGACACGGGAATTTAGTCTGTTGTGCCAGCCCTCCACGTCGTTATTGGTTCTCACTGGCAACATAAACACGCACCAATCTTCTATTGGAAACAGACGAGATGAAATCCATTGATCTTCTATGTATGTACATATCGGCTCTAACTGTTCTGGGCACCTGTCTTTCAAATGGGCAAACATGCCCGCCACGTGTTCTTCGGGCAGGAAAGGGAGAGCCATCAATCGCCTCAAATAATTAAACACGTCCCCCTTTTCGTTGTACGCTGTCTGAAATAATAAAATATTAGAAATATATTAATACTGAAAATCTATTTGTGCACTTGTACTTTAAAAGAAGATATTATAATAAGAATTTTTTTATTTTACTATAAGAAGATTTATTATAAGAAGAACGCACAACATACCTGGAATCCCTTTTCTTGAATTTTCCGGAAAACGGCCTGGGTCCAATGAAACACGCATCCTTGAATTCTTATATCTACAAAACGGCGTCTAAGGGCCTGCCATAACCCCGCCTCAAAATCCACCACAAATCCCTCCAAGGCAATCTGGCTTGGTAGCATCTTGTCCACTGCCCGGAGAACCTGTAAAATAAATAAACCAAACGTTCATTTATCTGATTATATTTATTCATTTATCCGATTGTAATCATTTCTCCGATTATATTCATTTCTCCGGTTATTCATTTCTCCATTTTTTCCGATTATATTTATATCATTTTTTTATTCCGAGTTTATAGATCACATCTTACCTTGTAGTAATCGTCCTGACTCTTCCCGGACATTACACAAAAGACAAGTGGTACCTGCTTCGTGGTTTCCCCGGCTTTTACGAAAGCGTGGATAGAAAATAATTGAGAATATGGTTTGTTGATAACTCGGAAGGTGGCGTCCATGTACCACGTTTTAGCGATTGATGGACAGGATCTTGTAAAAATATTTCCTATGGCTTCCTTCTTAGCCTGCAATGATATAATAAATATTATACATATTCTTTTTTTTTATTTCAGCAACAGTCAGTACCAGGGTCAGCTGGAGGAATGAATATCTGTTCTTTCAATCTTTTAATATATGTACATATCGTTACTTTAATATTTGTATTTTTATATACATACCGTTACTTTAATTTTAGCAGCAGTCAATATACCAGGTTCTGCTGGGTGAATATGCTCTTTCAAACCTTTCTTGAAGTCGGTACCATCCTGAATCACCGTTCCAGGACAAGTCAGGGAACCATTTCTCTTGCAGCACCTCCATACGGTCGTTTTCTTGTCCGTCTAAAAAAAACATCATTAGTTCTAATTAGATATCATATTCGTCTACACGTAACATTAGTTCTAATATATAAGTTCTAGTTAGATATCATATTTGTCTATAACATACATATATATAACACATACCTTTATCGTATAAGCAAAACCAATGTTGTCAAACAGCTTCTTTTTCCCACGTGTTGTTGCTGCCTCTTCTATAGTGTATGCTAATTCAGGTTCTTCTTCAGCAAATACGCTAATATCTTGCTCATCTTCAGACATTGAAGACTCGATAACCGGATCAGGTAGCTGGTATGGTCGTTCAATGGTGAATGATTCTTCGATGTCCATTTCTTCTTCTGTAGGGGGGAGCGGGGCAACACATCTACAGCATTTCCATTCAAAAGCAGTTCTATGTCGGTTTAAACTCCTGTACTCATCCCGAGTGATGCCTGAAATAGTGATAAATAAAATAATAATATTCCCGGATTGCGGGTACGTGTCAATAAATAACAATAACGACAAATTTATAACGTTTCAATAAATAACAATAACTTACAAGCTGAAACGACAAATTTATAACGTTTCAATAAATAACAATAACTTACAAGAAACGACAAATTTAAAACGTTTTAATAAATAACAATAACTTACAAGAAACGACAAATTTAAAACGTTTTAATAAATAACAATAACTTACAAGAAACGACAAATTTAAAACGTTTTAATAAATAACAATAAAGAAAATTTCATTACGTACCGGAATCGCAGGTTCGATGTTGCCATAAAAGACAAGAATCGCACTGGAGGCCTTCTTGTCGAGGACGGACAGGATTGGTACACTTTACGCAATTTCCACTAGCCATGATAGATTCGTGTAAAAATTGAGAATGATTTGAATTGAAATATGGCACATATATATAATACATTTGAGCTTGGGCTCAATCATTTCTTAACGGCTTCATTATTTCTCAATCATTTCTTAGCGGCTATTAGAAACGCCGATCAGTGTTTTTATTTCTCAATCATTTCTTAGCGGCTATTAGAAACGCCGATCAATTATCGCTATTAATCTTAAATACAACAATGGGATGGTTTCACTAATCGCTGGATTCACTAATCGCTAGATTAAAACAACAATCGCGGATCGATTATCGTCAACAATCTAAACTAATTCATCGTCAACAATCAAAATTTACTCATCAAAATACAATAATATCCGATCAAGTAAATAAACAAATACAAAAAAGGCAAGTAGCATAGGTTTTACTTCAAGTTCAAGTTCAAAGGCGTGTTGTCAAGTAATGGCCTGTATGGGATAAATAAAACAAGACTAACAATGTTTAAATCTTTATTAATGTGAATGGTCTGTCTTGAGCCTCACCTACAACGAAAGAAAAACAGCTATTACTAATATATACACACATAATTTTAAGTTTTATTTGAGTCCGAGTCCGAGTCCGAAATGTCGCCGGTCCGAGTCCTAAATGTCGTTTGACTGAGTCCGAAATGACACCGAGTAAGTCCGAAAAGTCGCCATACTGAGTCCGAAACGACGTTTGTGCTGAGTCCGAAATGACGCGGGACCGAAATGACGTGCTACCGGTGAAACAGCCCGATAGAAAATAAGGTTGAGATGAAACAGCCGGGGTGAACCGGTTATGGGATGAACTGACCCACACCCAGAAGATCGCTCAGACTAAATTAAAATAAAATATTACTCAATTTATTGTTTTTTATTTATCATTAATATTTATTAAATTAATCTGTATACATCAAAAATTTATAAAAGAACAATTTACAAGAATAATGATATTGAATTAATCTTTATTACATCAACAATATTAAACATACATTATGCAAGAGCTAAATCTGCCTATTGCAAATTTTTTTTTTAGCCCTGAACTGTTATCTAAATTATTAATTAAACATTAATTAACTTATCCAGGCCATAATCAACTTTCGATGTCATCGCTAGCCTGCGATATTTAGTGGATTGGAATAGGCTACATTTTCACATTTTGTGAAGGATAATTAAATGAATAATCAAGACTTTGGTTTTTTTTTATCGTACTGACTTTAGTAATGATGATCGAGGCTAGCCTAAAATTCAAAAGCGAATATCTTGATTCAGACTGGAGCAATTCGACTGAAAATTTTTAGCATCTTCTTTTTAAGTTATCTATTTTTTAACTATTATAGCGAGAACTGTCAACTCTTTATCTAATCTCCCATAATGTCCCTTTAATATAAAATAATCTTTATCAACAAATTATTAAATAATACATTTTTTTCCCCTTATATCTATTCAAATATATGTTTGTTTTTTGTCTTCATTTTTTTGTTCCTTGCGTCCTTTAGTTTGTTGTTCCGAGTGGTCTTTTATCTTGGGATGAGTGGTCTTCTATTGGGCTGCGTGGTCTTTGGCCACAAGTGATCTTGGGAATGAGTTCTCTGAATACCATGTAACGGCAATGAGGATCTACTCTTATTTTGATTTACAATTGTCAGTGATCTTTAACATGTTGTCACTCATATGTACATGACCTCGTTTGTTTTTTTTTTTACTCTTCTCCTTACCATACTTTCCGTCCTGCACTGCTGACAAAAGAAAAGGCAAGCTGGAACAAACTGATGGAACATTATTGACAAACACCGGGATCAGGGCCAGCACTATACACAGCGAGTCACCTCGGTCCCTTTTGGCTTTGGGTCACTGATAAAGGGAATGTGTCTTGGCATATAATGATAGAGGGTGGGAAGGATATGAAATATCACTTGATATTTGGAATATGAAGAAAACTAGGCATATACCCCATTGTCACATCAAATTCTCCCTTTGATGGCAGATAAAACCCCAATAAAAAGAATAAGGTTGTTTACAAAAATGTCTATTTTTGAAAATGGTATCAATTGTCGTTTTTTTTGTTTCAGAACAAGACTGTTGGTAAAGAATTATTTGAATTGGTTTGTCGCACAATTGGTTTGAGAGAAACTTGGTATTTCGGTTTACAGTTTGTAGATTCAAAGGGTTATATAGCATGGCTCAAGTTCGAGAAAAAGGTTTGTTTTTGAAAACTCTCATTTATACATTTATGTATCATATAAAACTATCTCCAGTTAGCTGAAGTCGTAAAATTGATATGTGTTTCTTGCTAGTGCTTAAATTTTTTTCTTTAACAGAGATAGGGTCACCTGTCCAACCACATGGGTTTTCCCTCCGGGTCCTCCGGTTTCCTCCCTCTGCTAAAGACCCCTATGCGCAAGCGAATTATTGAAATAAAATTGAACCCTAAGTAAGCCCCGGTATGACCTAGTTTGTGTCGAGTGGACGTTAAACCCCATTTCTCTCTCCCTCTTTAACAGAGAATTTAAAAACAATGGAGATGCCCACATGTTCTCTCGCCCATGCAGTTTGCTGCGAATGTAAATTTAAAGATATATACCTAATGTAAACAATGTTTGTTTCTTCTTTTTAGGTTTTAGATCAGGATGTTCCAAAAGAATCTCCTATACCTTTTCTATTCTTGGCGAAGTTTTCTCCGGAAGATGTGTCGGAGGAATTGATCCAGGAGATTACACAGCATTTATTCTTTTTACAAGTGAAACAGTCAATATTAAATATGGATGTATATTGTCCACCTGAAGCTTCAGTATTACTAGCATCTTACGCTGTACAGGCAAAGGTAAAATACTCTACACACTTCACAAATTATCTTGAGGGGTTGGGTGGCCGAATAGTTAGCGCATGTGTGTGCTGTATCATATGATCTGTCATTGAGTCAACTGGTGTGGTTTCCATTCCCCGGTTGTACGTGACAAGGAGTAGGGTCGCTTGTCCAACCTCATGGGTTTTCTCCTGGTCCTCCAGTTTCCTCCCACTGCTAAAGATCCTACGTGCCAGCGAATTATTGAAATAAAATAGAACCAGATGTTAGTCCCGAAATGACCTAGTTTGTGTTGAGTGGACGTTATACCCCATTTCTTTTCCACCAGTTATCTTAAGGCCTTATAAAACAAATATTCTGGTTCTTAAAAAGAGCCACTAGACCTGTTTTTATTTTTAAAAAAATACAAATGGTCTGATTAATAACTGCACTTAAATGTTTTCACTGGATTACAGGAAGTACATCTGTGAATCTGAAAGGTAGGCTCAATTATCAAATATGCACTCCTGATAAATAGATGATTTATGATTTAACCTAGATGATTGTCTCACATGCCAGTATTAAGGATGCTGTAGGTAGAACAATTGTTGAAATATGACCGATTTTGTGTTCAGCTGGTGACATTTGGAGCAATTTGGTCCTAATAATCTCAAGACTTGCGCTAAATTTGGGGATGATTCACAGCAGACTGATTGGGGATGATCATATGATCTCAGGGGACATGCCTTTTTCTGTATAATACCTTTTGTAACAGACAGAGTTTGTCCCTTAATTAAAGATGCATTATGCAAGAGCTAAATCTGTCTCTTGATGCTATTGCATACTCAAGATTTTCAATGGATTTAAACAATTTTGGTGGTAAATGGATAATCAAGACTTTGTTTACTATCATAACAATGGTAGCAATGACAATCAAGACTCTGCTGTACTCCAAACAGTCCCAAAGTCGCGCAGAATGAAGTAATTTGATGAAATTTTTAAAATATTCCCATTTCATTATCTAGTTTTTATCTAGTATAGCGAGAATGTCAGCTCTTTATCTAAATATGGGGGTTGGATGGCCGAATGGTTAGTGCGTGCACAGTGTATCATATAGTCTGTTATTGAGTCAGCTGGTGTGGTTTTGATTCCCCGGTTGTACGTGACAAGGAGTAGGGTCGTCTGTCCAACCTCCTGGGTTTTCTTCGGGTCCTCCGGTTTCCTCCCACTGCTAAAGACCCCTACGCGCAAGAGAATTATTGAAATAAAATTGAACTATACGTTAGTCCCAAAATGACCTGGCCTGTGTCGAGTGGATGTTAAACCACATTTCTCTCTCTCTCTCTCTCTTTTTTTACCTCAATGTTACCTAATGTCCCTTTAAAACTGTGTCTCTTTATAACTCAAGAGTTATTTATATATTTCAGTATGGTGATTATGATGAAAGTACGTATAGATCTGGTATGTTAGCAAGTGAAGATCTTCTACCACAGCGTGTTATAGATCAATATCAGATGACAGCTGAGATGTGGGAGGAAAGAATTAAAGTCTGGTACGCTGATAGAAGGGGGATGACGAGGTAAAATATCATTTATAACTCTTGGACCCTATAATATATACTGTCCTTCTAGTAGATCTTAATAGGTGCACTATTATTCAAGAGCTAAATTTTCCTATTGCAGGTCTTTCGTTAGGCCTTAAATGTTATATGAATTATTAGACATTTAACATGACAAGACCATAATCAAGGTCTTTATTTAGACCTGAAATGTTATATAAATTATTAGACATTTTTTAACATGACAAGACCATAATCAACTCTTGATGCCATCAGATACTCGTGATTTTAACTGGATTAGAACGGTTTGCCATTTGAAGATCTAATTTAAAATTGAGAAGTGATACTAAGCCTCAAATATACCAGTACCATGGTTTCGATAATAAACAATCAATACACACATTTTGTCAACACTACAAACAGTAATTACTTTGCTCAGAACAAAATATAATTTGACTGAAATTTTCAATATATTCATTTTTCATTATTTATGTTTGAACTATTATAACAAGAATGGCCAGCTCTTTATCTAAATCTTGTATCTGTAATAATTGTTATTTTAATTGAACAGAGATGAAGCTGAAATGGAATATTTAAAGATAGCTCAAGATCTAGAAATGTATGGTATTAATTATTTTCAAATCAAAGTAAGTTGGAAGGTGGTTTCTTTTAAATTTAAAATGTGAAATCCAATGTTATTGATACTGATCGTAATACAGTAGATTTCAAATCTCTTGCAAACTACATTAATGTGAGGGATTTGGTATTTACAAAGATATGAAAATTTGGCAACATTTTGGTATACACAATACCGCGTTACCTACACCATAAAGTTGATATCGTTGACTAAGCAACAAATAAATAACATTTATAAATGACAATATGCAACACTAACAGATCAAAGTCATCAGTTTTGTCACTAAGGCGTTAAAACTGTGATTATTGAATGATATACACCACTATTGTCCGGGTTTGTGTATTCAATAGTGATGGCTGTTATAAGTATATTTTAGCATGGATTGAGCTGTGATGAATTAGATTTTGTCTGAAATATGTGAATGACGATCGTTGACTTTCATATTTTCACACGAAGAGAAAACAAACAAAAGCTTTAGCCCTCACAAAAAAATATTGTCAATAGTGTTTCCCATGGTTACGGACTTGATAGCTGAGATTAGTGTTCATTTCCTGTTATCAAGAAACGTTCAATAGAGTTACTTCCATTGATCGTGGGAAATATGAACAATCGGAATTCAAAATAAATACATATGTTGCGCCCCATTTTTAATGACTTGGCAGTAGCTGATAACCAGACTATTTTTTTTTGTGTGACCTTATACTGATCTGTCTTCCAAGAAATGTTTCCAGATGATATATTTACAATATAATACTTACTTCTATGTTTAGAATAAGAAGGGGAGTGAACTCTGGTTTGGTGTTGACTGTCGTGGTATAAATGTTTACGAACGGGATAATAGATTGTCACCAAAAGTTACCTTCCCTTGGAGTGAAATCAAAAATATTTCTTTTAAAGACAAAAAGGTAAGTAGTGGAATATCTTGTGATAAATGCTTCAGTTTTGACTATCCGCTATTAGAAACAAAACTTTGAAATTTCTATTTCCAAATTTGTTATTCAAGTACAGGGTAATAGTCATTTAAATCTTCCATAATTTTTTTCTGACAACCTACGAATTTTGACAATCCTGAGCAAAAGTCAGATTTCAGACTACAATGTATACACCAACTGAACTGAAAAATATCTCAACCGACCATGACAGCTGAAACATATTCTCTGTGTTTCATTATGTAGTGATTCTACTTAAACTACCTCACTATAACACATACTTATGGAAAAACAGCTACTGATTTATTTAGGTGATGTTTCGAAGAGTATACTCTCAACGTTATCAAGCTAACGGGAGTATACTCTTCAAAACGTCACCTACATTTAATTTTTTTCCATAAGTATGTGTTATATACTGATGTCCAAAAGAAAGTATACACACTAAAATTATCACTAAGTTTTGTTTGGATTAAAAACATTTGATAAAGCATTACTGAGTTTGTCTCTTGCGTCCAAACTCAACATTTCTAAGCAAAATAAAAGTGTGAAACAAATTGACATTCTACCCAAATATCGTATACCATGAAAAAACGACTTTGGTTGATGCAGCACAAAATGCACAGTGTATACTTTCTTTTGGACATTAGTATAGTTTATTTAGCTACCCAGTTACTAAATGCTACTTAAAGAATATTACCTGAGATATTGGCAAGGTAAACGTGTTTAATTATGTAGATATCGATGCTGTTATTCTGTTGCTTTTGAATCTTCCAGACTAACATTTATTTAGTTTTTATTCAGTTGTCATTTATATTATTTCAAAGCTTTAAAGGGGCATTATCAGAGATTAATTTAAAGTTGACAGTTCTCGCTTATAATACATGTAGTTAAAAACTAGATAACATAAAGAGAATATACTGACAATTTCAGTCAAATTGCTCCGCTTTGTACAAAGATATTAGTGATTTAATTTTAAGTCTAGTCTCTATCATCATTACTAAAGTCTGTATGATAAAAAAAAAAGTCTTGATTATCCATTTTGACGTTATATCATCTATCACAAAATGTATTCAAATCCAGTAAGTATCGCAGACTAGCAATGGCATCGAGAGTTGATTATGATCTGGATAAGTTAATTAATGTCTAATTAATTATTTAGAAAACATTTCAGGCCTAAAGAAAGACCTGCAATAGGCCGATTTAGCTCTTGCATAATGCGTGTTTGAAGGTCAAATCTATAAATTATTTTGGTTATTCAATGTCTTTATTTATTTTATTTTCAGTTCACAATCAAAAATGTAGATAAGAAAGCTCCTGATTTTATGTTTTATGCTCCTAAATCACGGATTAACAAACTGGTGAGTATTACTGACATATTCTGACATAACTAGGTCATTTCGGGACTAACACATGGTTCAATTTTATTTCAATAATTCGCTTGCGCGTAGGGGTCTTTAGCAGTTGGAGGAAACCGGAGGACCCAGAGAAAACCCACTATTTTAGCGAGAACTGTCAGCTCTTTATCTAATCTTACGTCCCTTTAATTATGTCTGACTTATAACGTCGTGTATATATATTAGAAATTACCCGGTATCTTGGGGTTGGGTGGATGAGTGGTGTTACGCATGCTGAATCAAATAGTGTGATTTCCATCCCAAGCTTGTACTTGACAAGGAATAGGATTGCCTGTCGAACCTCGTGGGTTTTCTTGGGTCCTCTGGTTTCCTCCCATTGCTACCGTCCACTACTACCGTCCACTACGCACAAGCGAGTTATTGAAATGAAATAGAACCATATGTTAGTACCCTGAAAAATGTTTACTTCACATTGTTTAGAAAAGAACTTCAAACCACATTTGAATTAAATTTTAACAATGTGCTTATCTTGTATTTCACTGACGATTATCGTTGTGTTTTTATTTTGTCAGATTTTAGAATTATGTGTTGGTAATCATGATCTGTTTATGCGACGAAGGAAACCAGATTCCATGGAAATTCAACAAATGAAAGCTCAAGCTCGAGAAGAAAAAGACAGAAAACAGGTTAGACTTTACTTAAAATGGTCTTCACATTGCTGTCCTTCTTGAAGTGAGGTTTGGTAACTAATAGTAAGTGCAGGGAGACTGCACCACACAAAATTTACACAAAAACAAATACACGGACAGGACATCATATTCAGGAAAACACAAACATACAGACAATTCAAAAAAAGTGAATGGATCCGGGGGCTAGCCGTAAGCGTCCACTGCGCTGTACAGTCCCGGGTCTGTAGTGACACAGACTTCACTCATATTGTGTAATGCCAGCATGAGATCGAGTCATGATCTGCTATATGCTACACAAAATACGAATGTAAGCATATGTGGTAAAATTCAACTATACAAGTAACCACATCGGTGAAATGTATAAAAAAAGTAATCTAAATTCACCTTTTGCTCACTCGCTAGAGGTGTAAAGATTCCATGCCTGGTGTCGCACATTTAGTTACTCAGCGACCGACAATTACCGAAAAAAACATTTTGTCACATGAGCAGTACATGTGGGGAGGTGGATTTGTTCCCAATAGCTTCATTTCCGAATAATAAATATATTTTGTTTGTTGTTTTGTAGCTAGATTGATCAAGACTAGCTTGTGATAAATGTGAATGTATTTTGTTTGTTGTTGTGTAGCTGGATAGATCTAGACTACCTTGTGATGAATGTTTTTTTGTAGTTTTATAGCTGGATAGATCTAGACTAGCTTGTGATGAATATGTATTTGGTGGTTTTATAGCTGGATAGATCTAGACTATGAATATATTTTGTTGTTTTATAGCTGGATAGATCTAGACTATGAATATATTTTGTTGTTTTATAGCTGGATAGATCTAGACTAGCTCGTGAGAAACAGATGAGAGAGGAAGCTACGAGAGAGAAAGATGAGATGGAAAGAAAACTAGGGATGCTTCAAGATGAAGTTAGAGGTGCTCAAGAAGCTCTGGTAAATAATTCATATTTTTATGTCGAGAATGGATCACAAGTTAAATTCTAATTGGCTGCTGTTGTCATTTAAAGGATTGAGAGTCTTTCACATTCGTGGAAGTGGATGAACGAACGCACAAACGAACGACTGAACTTCACGTTTAAGATGCGCTTTCGCTCCTGCACCTCGACTGTCCTTCGCGGGAGTCATTATAGATACCTGCAAATTAGCTAAATCGCTCTCCTAAATATTCAGATTAATAAACTACTTTCAGTTTCTGTTTATTTTTAAACAGCATATGTTGAGCTATCAGTTTCCATGATGATAATTCTGATGTTATATTCACGAAGCATATACAATACAGAGAGAGAGAGAGAGAGAGAGAGAGAGGGAAATGGGGTTTAACGTCCACTCAACACAAACTAGGTCATTTTGGGACTAACACATGGTTCAATTTTATTTCAATAATTCGCTTTAGCAGTGGGAGGAAACTGGAGGACCCAGAGAAAACCCAAGAGGTTGGACATGCGACCCTACTCCTTGTCACATACAACCGGGGAATCGAAACACTGCCAGTTGACTCAATGACAGACCGTATGATACAGCGCAGCACGCACATGTTAACCATTCGGCCATCCAACCCCCCATATACAATACAAGACTAAAGCATAAATACAATTTGGCTCTCCTTAATTAAAGAAAATCTAGAATTAATCTTGCAATATTATTAAGAAAAGTTTTTTTTTACGGGAGCTGCTTTCTCATTTTCAAAATTGACAGGAGCTTTTTATGGCTCAAACACAAATTTTTAAACGCGAAGGACTGGACTGAGGAGAGAATCTCTTGTAAAATACAATATTTTGTGGTTTTGAAGGGATTTCAGAAAATCTTATCAAAAGACAATCAGAAACATTTTAAAAAGAAAATTGTTTCATGGCCTTCTACTACAATCTCAATCCTAGAGATACCTTACACTTTGTTTATCTCTGGTAAAACTTGTCGGCCATTAATCAGCGTGAAATCGGTTCCTAAGCTCCGCCCCCAGTGGCTTCCGATTGGCAGGATTTGTTAGAATGAAATGCTGCTGATTTCTCGTCAATTAGGCATCGATTCGTTGCATGAATTACATATTAATGATCCTTGGAACATTTTCCACATCTTGACATCAAAAGTTCATTCAAAAACAGCCGATTTGATGATTTACTGGGAACTATTTTTAACACACAATGTGAATGCATGAAATTTCTGAAAAAACGCGAGTTTGAGAGGCCATCTTGGATCTTTGTGAAGCGATCGACGGATTGGCGAGTTTTACCATAGATAAACAAAGGGTGAACTTACCTCAGGGATCAAGATTGCTTCTATTACTGTATCTGTAATTGATGAACTTTGATTTAGAGATATCAAAACTACTCAGCAGACCAGGTTTCTACTACTGTGTCTGTAATTGATAAACCTTGATTTAGAGATATTAAAACTGTAGAATTTTATATTCATTTATTTTTCTTTGTAGATACGATCTGAAGAATCAGCTGATCTGTTAGCGGAGAAAGTTCGTATTTTAGATGAAGAGGCTCAACTTTTAACACAGAAAGCAGCTGAAGCTGAAGGCGAAGTCCATAGAATGAAGTTAAACACCATGAAGGTAAATATTTAAAGTTAGATTCCTCTAAAACAGACAAGTATGTTTTATAGTATGGTTAAAGTTAGATTCTCCTCCACAACAGACAAGTATGTTTTATAGAATGAAATTAAACACCATGAAGGGTAATGTTTAAAGTTAGATTCCCTCCATCAGAGAAATATGTTTCATCTTGAAGGTAATGCTTAAAGTTAGATTCCCTGCAAACAGACAAATATTTTTTATGATGAAGGTAATGCTTAAAACTAGATTCGTCTCAGACAGAGAGAGAGAGAGAAATGGGATTTAACGTTAGAATCCCGCCAACATACTAGTATGTGTTATCATACAAGCAAATACAGGAATGTAGTATAATGATTTTCTTTTTTAACTCTTCAGACTGAGGAAGAGAGAATGATGATGGAGAACCGTGCAATGGAAGCAGAACTGATAGCTGTTACTTTATTAGAAGATTCGGAAAAACGGTAAATTAGACATTTTCACCATTATATACATATGTCTAACATCACTACAAATGGCTTGCTAACCTGGTGATCTTGTGTTCGATCTCGATGTTGGTTGAGAAAATCCCTCAAGATTTTCCGAGGGGGTTCCCCCCTTTTCAGTTGTGAAGGAAGGAAGGCTTGGCAAGGGACAATGTATAGTTGTTCGGATGGAACAAGAAACCTGAAGTCCTGTGTACATATTAGATATTAGCGTGCATGTAAAAGAACCCATGACAGTTGGAATTCGAAATAAGAGTAGGCGATAGTACCACTGTCCAGGCAAAATTTCCTTCATAACTGTCTTCATTAGCAGAAAAGTAGGACGTTAAACAACATTTCATTTCATTTGTTCATCACTACAGAATAATGAGGTTCTTTTTTATGAAGGAAATATTATGTACAGGGCTAAATAGTGGAAAATATAGCCTATCTAAACATTGAGCTCACATGACCTTCTTGGCTGATCAATAATTTTCTGTGAGTTACTAAAGTTAGAATATTGTCAGCTGGACACCCTTTGTCAAGTCTGGGTAATCAAGACTTTAGTGGATATATTTACTTTTGTTTCTATAGTAACTGTTCCATCATATTCCTAGAACCCTTAAACCCACTGAACAATAGCGTGATATATATATATATATATATATATATATATGTTATTTACAGTGCTAAAGAAGCCGAGATGTTACGAAATGAGTTGGTTCAAGCTAGAATATCAGAGAAAGCGGCAAAAGGAACTTTATTAGAATTAACCAGAACTACCCAATATACGGTAAGTATGGAAGAGAAAGACACACGTGATCTTCTGAAATGTTAACTTAATTTCATACAAGTTGCTGGATAGAAAGATTTACCCAAATCTACCCAAATCCACCATTATTTCAATAATTTATATCGATATTTGATAAGATGCAGGCTCGCTAGCCTGGAGGTCGCGTTTTCAACCCCTGCATTGGTTGAGAAAGTTATCAAGATTTTCCAACGTGGTTTCCCCTTGTCAGTGGTGCAGAACGAGGGCCTGACAAGGACAGCTGTCTAATCGTTCTGATAGGACGATAACCTCGGTCCTGTGTATACATAGGTGTGCACGCAAAAGATCCCTTGTCAGTTGGAATTTGATATAAGAGTAGGCCATAGTGCCGCTGTCCAGGCAAAATTTCCCTCATAGCACACTGCATGGCATATACATGTCTTCATTAGCCCAGTCGGAGCAGAACAGTAGGACGTTAAACCACATTTCATTTCCCGGATTGCACTACTATGACCTACTCCTATTTTAGATATTCAACTGTCAGGTAACATTTAACACACTGTCAAAGGTTTTCACAGAACCTCCTTTTGCATACCATCCAAATAACTAGATTCTTTTCCTAAATGTGTATAACTCTTTGGTATTTCAGCCATATGCTCGATACCAAGGCTTATCCTCTGACCTCAGTGATCTTCGATTGAACTCTGACCTAGGATCAGGTGATACAGAGATGAGTTGTGATCTAATACCAGATAATATGGATCACGATCAGTTGAGTCAAGAAATAGAAAAAGAAAGGTCAGTTCTTTAATTCTTAGTTTTTAAATTCTTAGTTTTTAAACGCCCACATTGAAATGTTGTTGTCACCTGTATCTGCTATCTCGTCTCCCAGAGAGAAGTTTACCAATCGTTTCTCTCTATTGGGAATCCCTCCAGCCATTTTGATGGGGGGTTGGATGGCTGAATGGTTAGCGTGCGCGCGCTGTATCATAAAGTCTGTCAATGAGTCGACTGGCGTGGTTTCAAATCCCCGGTTGTACGTGACAAGGAGTAAGGTCGCCTGTCCAACCTCGTGGGTTTTCTCCGGGTCCTCCGGTTTCCTCCCAATGCTAAAGACCCCTTCGCGCAAGCGAATTGTTGAAATAAAGTTAAACCATATGTTAGTCCCGAAATGACCTAGTTTGTCTCGAGTGGACGTTAAACCCCATTTCTCTCTCTCCAGCCATTTTGAATGTCACATGATGTATCCTTCTACTGGTCGCTACACAAAGATCCAAGATGGAGTTTCAAACTCGCGTTTCTTCAGAAATTAGCATATTTTATGCTCATATTGCCGAATCACTCACATTGCGTCAAAAAAATAGTTCCCGGTAAATCATCAAATCAGTTATTTTCGAATGAACTTTTGATGTCTAGATGTGGAATATGTTCAAAGGATGATTAATATGTAACTCATGCGACGAACCAATGCATAATTGTCTAGAAATTGGCAGCATTTCATTCAAACAAATCCAGCCAATCAGGAGCTACTGGGGGAGGAGCTTATGAACCGAATGCAGACTGATTAGTGGCCGATGTGATTCCTAGGAGAGAGAAACGAACAATAAACTTCTCTCTGGGGCGCCAAGATTTCCCTATCTGTTTGTCCACCCTGCTTATAAACGTGATGGAGGTAAAATTGTTTATGTACAAGATGAATGAATTTCAAATTAAACAGCCAAGTATTTGCTTTGTGTCAAGAAGAAGCCAATAATGAGTCCAACACGCAAGCGGATTATTGAAATAAAATTTAACCATGTGTTAGTCCCGAAATGACCTAATTTGTGTAGAGTGAGCGTTAAACCCTCTCTTCTATCTCTCTTTCTCTATCCCGCGTTCAGT